CCGCCTGAAAAACCGGGAAGTCCTTTTTTCTGGGATCGCCGATGGCATTGGCTAGGGTTTGAATCCTAACTCTTGGGTTTTCCTTCGCCGCCTGAGCCACCCGAAGCTGATAACACAACCATCTGCCCAATTTGCGCCTGTTCGACCGAAAAGCCCTCGTGGCGGACGGCATGAATCCATGCCAGAAAATTGCCCCACGCCTGACCTAGACCAAATCCAGGCTTCATGGGTAAGGGGAAAAGGCCCAGATGAGCCCCCAGCAACTGTCCCGGGGGAGGGGTTCTCCATAAATACCCCAAGGCAACCTTAAAGGTCCGGATATTTTCTTCAGGTCGGAAACCCTTTTCCACGAACTTATTTCTCAGCTCTTGAATTCGTCGCAACCCCACCTGGGTTGAGCCCCAAACAAATTCAATGGCCGTTCGGCGTGCCAGTCCATCGTGGCAGTATGCGTCACGGTGAGAACATCAGGTGGAACTAAGTCGTTTCCACCCTCTGTTGCACCCCGCTGCGCTTGCAGTGCCGTCTGTTTTGCTTNAACTTATTTCTCAGCTCTTGAATTCGTCGCAACCCCACCTGGGTTGAGCCCCAAACAAATTCAATGGCCGTTCGGCGTGCCAGCCCATCGTGGCAGTATGCGTCACGGTGAGAACATCAGGTGGAACTAAGTCGTTTCCACCCTCTGTTGCACCCCGCTGCGCTTGCAGTGCCGTCTGTTTTGCTTTTTGAGCTAGCCACGCCTGCATCTGATTGATCCGAGCCTGCATCTGGTTTCTTTCATCACACAACTGCTTTTTCTGCGATTCCAACGTGTTAATGTGATGCTGCACTTGATTAATGCGATCGTGTGATTCCGCTGTTTGAGCGTAGGCGACCTGTGGGGTCACTAAACGTTCTTTAGCCAGTTCTGCCCTGGCCATTTCATATTGCTGATACGGTATTGACTTGCTTTCCTCAAGCGCCATCCACTCAGTTCGGAAAGTCTACCTGGCATCGTCAAATGCTTTAATAAAGTTCTCGTTCCTTGGCATGTTAAACAACACCATAAAGTGCCGCAAAGAAACGAAACTGGTTTTAGCACCATTCTCCAGACAAATAGTCAGTTCACCGTCTTCAAGTTTGAGTATGCCGTCGGTGGGATTGACCTGCGTACCAAAATTTTTCTGTACTCAAAAGAAAATGGGGTCCGACCGTAATGCTTGACGAAAGCCCTAAGAGCTGACAGGCTCGTCATCCACTCCGCGTCAATGAGGGCCCACAGGGAAGCGATAGATAATATTGCTTGCTTGTGGCTTACCTTTCGTATCAAAACCTTACACTTTGCGACACTTTCTCACAGCAAGAGCTGAAGACAAGAATGATGATGGATTGCAGGATCTCTTATTAACAGGTTGGGTAAGGCTTGGCCATTCCTTTCACAGGCTTCCAAAACATAAAAAGAACTTCTGATGGGCTTGTGAAAGGGGACGCGGGGGCGTGTTCATGGCGCTTTTGGCACCTTCGTTTTGCTAGCTTCATTGCCAGTACTTATTTGATACCTTCGCTGGGACACCACGTGCGCGAAATACAGAAGCCTTTGTTAATATAAAATATAAAACTTTCTTGACTCTTCTTTACTTCAGGAAAAAATGTAGGACATCTACTATTCTGTTTTTCGTAGTGTTTTCTTGACTTCCGCTCATGGCCACGCCCCATCCGCTACCATCGCAAATCACGTCCGTCACCTTCCGATTTTGATACGGAAGGATGCCCGTTTTTTTTGTTTTTATTTGCTTTTCTTGGTATATAGTTATATATTTTATCGAGCTTGCCCAGTGAGAGAACATGCGTTTAAGTGTGCGGAGGGCCGCTTGCTTTAATCCGGGACCCCGTAGACCCACCTGCCTTTTTTTGGGCAAAGCGTGCAGAGGAATGGCGCATTGTATCGGCAATCCTAATAGCAATCTATAAACTAAAGAAGGCTAGAGGAGGGTATGGGCCACCCCGGCCACCGCATGGCAAACGCCATTTTCATCGGGGAAGGCCGTTGAAGAAAAGCCTTTTCACTGCAAGAAGATGCTGGGCAAGCTGTTTTGTGAAGCGCAGCTTCTCCACATCACCTTCGTTCACAGCAAAATTAAACAAGAGACTCTTTAGGGCAGGCAGCTCAGGAAGCGCAGGCTCCCCCTCTGAAATGTACACTGTGGCTCGGTTTCACGGTGCCCAGCCTGAACCCATATCTAGCCGTGCGGCGCCTTCTGGGCCCATGCTTCGTGTAGCGCCGGCGCCCGCACATAAGACATACAAAGGCAGTGGGGGCCATTTGCTCAGAAGCGACCCCCTGGAACCTCCGGCGTTTCCCTTTTGTGAGAATCCCTTGGCCCTCATGAAAACTTAGGTAATGCGACGCGGCGGGGCCAATATGGGAGAATCATTTCAAGCACAACATGCGCTGCTTTTTCTTCCGCTGCTCTGGCGATGGGTGGTGTTTTCCCTTGTGTTTTATCATTGATTATGTTGTGGAAGGTGTCTCTCTTCTCGTATGCTTTGGAAGATGCGGCAATGCTTCGTAATACCCTTCCCGTTTCATGGCGCTAATGTGAAAGGTTGGGTTTTTCACTGTTTCTCGCTTGGGGTGGTCTTGGTGTGGCTTGGTCTTCTTTTTGCGCCGCTTTGCTCAGTCTGCCAGGTGGCTTGTATTTCATTCGGATCGCCATTACCCCAGCGTTGTCGACGACCTTCTGGCATACCGTGCGGGATGTTTTGGGTCGCAGCGCCGCTTTGCATGCCGGCCCTTGTGGGGAACGGTGCTTGACACGGATTTGGGAGAGCAGCCCTGCCTTAGCAGCGGCTCTCGGCCCACATCGTTCGCATTGGGTGTGCGTGTCTTTGGCCTTCCCTTCGGCTCCCTGTGGGCGCTTATGTTCTGCTTTTGGGCGCTGGCGGCGGTTTTGGTGGCGAATATGCCGCGTCAGCCTCCACCCCGCGCTTCGCACGGCCCTGCGCATGGATGGCGGGCCGGTTCTCTTAGAAGCTTCTTTGTGATCGGGGCCGTGTGGGTTGTCCTGTGCGTTTTGCCCGTTTGGGCATCGGGTCTGGGTGGGGGGCGGGGCGCCCAGCGGCCCCGCAACAGCCGGATGCACGACTTTCAATGGGGCGCGGGCGCGTGTGAATCCTTTCTTTTTGACTTTGTCAATCGCGCCACTTGCCCGACAGCCGAGGCGGATTGGCACGCCGGGCAATCCCCCGCATCCCGGCGGCGAAGTGCCGCCGCTTTTGGGTTGCCTGGGGGCGTTTCTATTCGAGGCTTTTTGGAAGGGGGAAGGGTTTCTGTAGGATTGCACCTCCTGTAATGTACGCGGCGTGGTGGGCTGCAATGCTCGCAGCAGCCAGCCGTAGCGGTGAGATTAACCGGTTTGAAAACGAGCTAGGGCTACCCCCTTCCCGGGTTAAGCTGGGATCATTGCGTGTAAGGTTCCAATAGCCGCCGGTGCTGGAGTAGTGGTGGGGGGGCAGTTGGGGCTGTTGCCTGCGTAGGCGACATTTCGCCGGCACAACTATGCACGGCATCCGCGTGCCGGTGCGCTGTGGCAGGTAAGAGGCTGTCTTGGTTTCTGATCGCATGCCCGATTCTTTGTAACGCCACAGTGGTCAAAGAGAAAATTTAGCCGTATGTGCGCCTTCGGCGTCGTAGGTCCAATGGTGGATTCCATGGTGCTCGTAATAATGTGTAATTGGCTTTTAGTGAGCCTGTGTGAAGTGCTATGGGGGATAACAAGAAGTCGAAAGACGGAGAATCTACACGGCCGAGTGCTGCGGCGGGGAATGGCCTCCAGCAATTTCCGCATGCCAACTAGCAACGCGATAGATTCAGCAGGGCAGGTGCACGCCATTGGTCCCGCACCCGCTTTTGCTTTGGCAAAGGGCCCCCGTTGAGGTAAAACATGGCTGCTGCAGCATATTTTACCCCCAGATCAACCGAGCCACCCACCCACAGCCCATAGCGCTAGCGCATGGGTGGCGCAGAACCCTTCCGGCAAAAGCGTCGGGCAATCGGCCTTGTGCTTGCTTGAGGCTTGGCCCCCTTCAGGTTGTCGGCGGTGGCGCCTTTGGGCGGTGTGCGAAACGGGGCTTGAAATGCCCATTGCGGCGTGAAGGGCGTTGGGGGCGGGACCCTGTCTTCAATATGGGGTTCTGGGTGCTGCGCCATGGTGGTGGTATATGGTTGTCGTGCGGGGCGGGCGGTCGAGTATGCCGCTTTGGTTCTGTCACGCACGGCTCCCCGTCGTATTTCGCACAAGGGCCGATATGTGAGGCGGCGGATTGGTACCAACGCACTTCGTAGCTTTATTCTGGCCTCGGGTAGGGCATCGTCTGTGCGGCTGCCTTTTGGGGTGCCGGCAATTTTTTCATAGGCCCCATGCTTCCAAGCATAAGGTGCGGATCGCGAGGTGAGGGATGTGCCCCAGCACCATATCCGTATGCCATGCATTGCTTTGGTTTGCATCAGAGCCAAGTAGAAGGTACGCAGTGTGTCTTGCTTTGGCCTCCAGCTGCGGGATGGGACGGTAGCTAGTTCCATGGCGACCGGTGTGTCATTGTAGAAAAAATCAAGGGGGTTCATATTTTTGGTCCCGAAGAAAGTATACTTCGTCTTGGTCGCGTTAACTTCCATAAACTGTTGCTTGGCCAAGCACGCCGCTGCTTTTAGCCCCTGTTGTGGTGTTGTGGCCATGATCTCTCGGTCGCTGTGTCGGGCAATCGGGGTGGAGTCACCCGCAAAGAAGCCGTGCCGAAATAGCGTTGCCTTAACCAATCTGATGCTGAGAGAGTTCATGAGAATAATAAACACGAGGGGTCCAAGAGCCGTGTCTTGCAAAACTCTTTGCATGAAGTACGCCGGAGGGAAGTGCACCCTGCTCGCGCGAAATACTGCTGCCCTATTGCGCAAAAAAAGGTACCGACCATCCCGCTATACGTTGCAGTGTTCCTGGCCGTCACATTTTGAGCATAATGCTATCATGCTCTACCGTGTCGAATGCTCAGGCGTAATTCACAAACGCTGCGGCCGTTTTATTATCAGAAGGCGGGCGATGCGCGTTCGCTTGAAGGTGCAATGGTTGGTCTAATGGGGGGGGGGCGGGCTGGCCGGAACCCGAGCTGCTGTGGCGTAAGCGCAGGCAGTATCACATCAAGAATACGCGCTGCTATGATTCGCCCAATGAGCTCACAGAAGCAACTGGTGAGCGCGACTGGTCTGTATGGCTCTAGGCCAGTTGCTTTCTTCCCCAGTTTGAGGAGTGGGCTTATAATCCCGTGTCTCCAGCTCTGCGGAACGATGCCAGTGCGCAGGCTCTTGTTGAAAAGCGTTAGGGCAGAGTGGTTCGCACCTTTTCCAAGGTGTCGCAGTGCCTCTCCGTGTGTCATGTCCGGTTGCGGTGCAGATCCCGGCGGCAGGAGGCGCAGCACGCGATCGGGCTGGGTCATTGTTGTTGGGTGGGAATTCCCACCCCTCGTTGTTTTTCCGAGTCGAATCTTTAGCTGCTGCCTGGATCGGGCGTGCGGCTTGGTGGCAGTTGTCTTGCCCAGGTCTGCCAGCCCAGGGGCTAGAACGGAGACTGCCGTCGATTGCCCTCCGGCACTGCTCCCTCTGCGCCGAACCGTATCTAAGAGACAATGCGCTTCTCTATGGTGTCTATGCGATTCATGCCTTGTTCTTGGTCTGAAGAGTGAGTTGGTCAGTTGGCGGAACGTCGGCCAGTTTGCTTTCTTACATTCCAGCAGGGTTTGGCGGACCCGCTGCGCTTCTGTCGTGGTGTCGCCCCTTCCCGCTTGGACGGTATAAGTGGTGATGCGGCGGTCCCTCTCAGGGGGTGGGTCGCCCTGCCCAATCGAACGCTATGCAATCCTTTTTGGGTGTTGCGCCTAGCGCAGGGGCTCTGTGTCTGTCGGTGCGCCGTGTTGGGTCGCCGGCGTTGAGAACAAGAAATTCATTGCCGACGCGCAGCGAACAACGGCGCCGCCTCTGGCATCAGGCGGGGCCCCGTGGTCCCATGCAACTGCGTGCGCGCTGGCGTCTGCGTCTATGGGCTGCGGCGCATCTGTGGTGTTGGGGCTGTCGGGGTCCTCTGGGGGNCCCGTGGTCCCATGCAACTGCGTGCGCGCTGGCGTCTGCGTCTATGGGCTGCGGCGCATCTGTGGTGTTGGGGCTGTCGGGGTCCTCTGGGGGGATTTTGGTTGCAGCAGTGGAGGGGTGGGGGCTGGGGAAATCGCCAGCTTCATGCCTGCTTCCCGGTGGCTCGTTGCTTGTTCGAACCAAATGCCTGCGACAAGCGCCGCTCCTTCCCCCACCCGCATCTCATCCGTGGCGGGGGTGGGGGCGCCCCCACCGGGAGAGGCGCGAGCTATCCCATAATACTGGCGGCCGCGGGGGTCGAAGCCGGCAGCCCCAGGGTGGGGGGTTGGGGCGCCTTTTTCGCCACACCCAATGGGCAAAGCGCGGTGTTGTGATTGCGCGGCTGTTTGCAAGCGGCTGGGCGCTTGCCCTGCGCTAGCCCAGTTGGGTTCCGCGGCGTGCCTCTCAAAGTGCGGCCGGGATTTGCCGATAATTTTCCGTTCGGCAGCGGCGTGGTGCGTGTGGCGCTCTTCGTGGGGTGGAAACGCGCGCCCCAAGAGTGAGGAGAACAACGCGGGGTCCCGGCGGGGCGCGGCGCAGCGGGCCCAAG